GAGCTAGGGCGGTCGGAAAGGGGAAGGGGCGGGGGGGGGGGGCAAAGTGGTCGTATCAGACTTCGGTGGACAGCGTTTCGGGGTAAACTACTTAGCCCGCTGCGCTGCTGGCTGCATAAGTACGATTCATCACGGCAGGCTACAATAATCACCATATCAAAGAGAGTTTCGACGCTGTATATCACACTAACTAGAAGACCGTTGTACAACCGTTTCTCAAAATTTACAATTCGACTAACCATGCCGAAAATTTGACGACAGCCAGGTCTCGCAGACGAGAAAAATATGACAAAATAATCTAATAATAGTTTTGCGTTTGGAATACTTAATAACCATTCTCCTAACAATTTCTTTTTATTTCCTTTTTATTTCAGGGGGGCCTCCGCACTGTATCTCTGACCGGCTCGATGCAGCTCCTCATCATGCTCACGGCGTCGGTGGCGATCCTCGCCGCGGGTCTGTACGACGTGGGCGGCGTCGGGGCCGCGTGGCGCAGCATGGAGGCGTCGGGGCGCATCGAGTTCTTCAAGTAGGTCAGGCCGGGGGAGAACCCGTGCCGACAGCCTCCCCTGTGTGGTACTGACCGTTCTCCGACCTGCCCCCGTCAGCCTGGACCCCAACCCGCTGACGCGCACCACCTTCTGGTCGGCCACGGTCGGCGGCTCCTTCTTCTGGCTGCAGATGCTCGCCGTGCAGCCCAACTCGGTGCAGCGCTACCTCGCCGTGCCCACGCTGTCCGCGGCCAGGAGGTACACGCCAAACGCCACCTATAGTGGTGGTCGCGATGCCGCCGCGACGTGTTTTCCCTGAATGAAACTAATTTTGATGTCGTGTCTCCGGCCGCCGCTCGCCAGGACTGCCTACCTCCAGTGCGCCGGGCTGCTGCTCACCACGACGCTGGCCTGCTCGCTGGGCGGCGTGCTGTACGCCAAGTACGAGGGCTGCGACCCGCTCACCACAAAGGTGAGAGGGCTTCTGGCTGCTAGCTGCTCACCTCCTCGACGCTGGCCTGCGCGCAAGGGGCGCCACCGTGCTGTACTCCAAGTACGATTAGTGCGGGGGCTGCGACCCGCTCACCACCAAGGTGAGCCGGCGCGCCCGGGCGGGCTTTGCTATTCCACCCCCCAGACCGCCCCGCCTCGCCTTCCCTGTATAAATAATTACCGAGAGCATCCGTCTGAGGATCATTAGAGCGCCGTGGCACTGCCCTCGACCCCAGCCGCCCGGGCCCCGGGCATGGCTGGAGAGCTCAAGTGGCTGCTACTACATACCGGGCTAATAGCCAGCAGCGCCCGAGCAGCGCTATACCGCCAAGCGCAGCCAAACGCGGGGTGTTTGCGCGCGGGCGGGGGGCGGTCCACAAAATACCCTTGTGTGTTTTGTGGTGCGGCCTCTCCGGGGGCTGAGGTTCACAGGAGCCCCCAGCCCCTTGCGATCGGAGCGGCACCGTGACGACCGAGGTCGCCGTTGTGGACGGTGGTGGTCGCGGTTGTTCACCTTCTTGACTTTCTCTCGACCCGCAGGAGGTGCAGCGCGCCGACCAGCTGGTGGCCCTCATGGTGGAGCAGACGAGCGGGCGGGTGCCGGGGCTGGCGGGTCTCTTCCTGGCGGGGCTGCTGAGTGCGGCCATGGGGTGAGTATTGGGCTCTGCAGTGCTTTGGCCGCCCTGGCCGCCAGCCAAAGCTTAAACGTTCGCACGCTGGCAGCAACCTCTCCGCGGCGCTCAACACCCTGTCCAGCACGCTCTACGCCGACCTCGTGGCCGGCTGGCTGCCCGACAAGTGGCGGTCCAGGTCCGGCGTCGTCGTCAAGGTGCTCGGCGTGCTGATTGGCGTGTGGGCCACCCTGCTCGTGTTCGTCGTGGAGCGGCTCGGCGGGCTGGTGCAGGTCGCCATGAGCCTCGGCAGCGTCACCAGCGGCACCATGCTGGGGCTGTTCACACTGGGCATGCTTGTGCCCAGGGCCAACACTTTGGTAAGAGACTACCCGTGTGGTGCCACCACCTCCGCGACGAGTCGATATGCACGTTTACTGCAAAGCCTGCTTCTCAACGTGCCACAGGGTGCTTTGGCAGGGGCGGCAGTCAGCGTCCTGGGCACCGCCCTGGTGGTGTTCGGCCAGCAGTCGGCCATCGCGGCCGGCTCGTTGCACTGGCCCACGAAGCCATCGAACGCAGATGACTGCGCTGAGTCGGGGTAAGTTTAGCAGCCTCAAAGTACGTCGGGATCTTCACGGCGGCATCCTTCGCGATGCTGACTGTCTGCCTTGCCTGCCGCAGCTCTGGCCTGGCTGCGCTCCCGGGCGTGCTGACCGAGGCAGCACCGTCCGAGGTGCTGGCCGTGCTGCGCCTGTCGTACCTGTGGCTCGTCCTCCTGGGAGCGGCGCTCACGATGGTGTCCGGGACCATCGTCTCCCTGCTCACCTCGAGCGCCGGGGCCGCGGCCGTGGACCCCGCGCTCCTGTTCGGCCGCGGGCGACGTCAGGTTCACCAGCACGAGTTGGGCGTGATAGTCGCGGAGAAGCCCACTCCGCAGGTCGACAGGGATGGCTGAACTATTTCATTTGGTTTCATGTGTGTTTTTCTATTTTGTCGAGTTTCGCTAAGGTGGTGATAATTATTCGGAATGGTCTGTGATTTTTCAATTGGTATACGAAACATAAAAAAAAATAAAACTATTTTGTCAAACTGTTTTTGTATTCAATTGAAGTGAATTATGTAAATACCTCGGTGATACTAGCACATAGTATTTTGCAGGTCGTGGTGCTCGCACCCGCTCGCGCCACCTGCTGGCCCTGTCGGCAGCGGGACGGGTGGGACAGATATTAGATCCTGGCGGAGGACGCGGCGGGCGGCCGAGTCTGCCATGCATAAGAGAGCGCGGTCAAACATTCTATGCAAATACGGCCGCTGCCCTGAGGGAAAGACGGCCAAAGAGAACTTTCAAATTGAATGCCGCAGTTGGGCAGCGACCGGTGACTGGACATCGACTCGGGCTGGCCTCGAGAGACTTTTCGGCGCGACCAAATAATAATAATAATAATGAATGAGGAGGAGGAAAAGAGCAAGGAGGGAGGAGGCATTTTTTGCCCTCCGGCATAGACAG